GTACAGGACGTCCTCCACCCCAGAATGTTTCCGCCGTTCTCGGTTCTGGGGTGTGACAGGTGGTAACCAGGATTTCCGAACAATCATACATTTCATATTGTTGATAGCCAGGGTTTTCAAACAGAACATACTTTTCATACAGAAAGCAAGAAACGTGTTAAAAAATATTGGATTTTCTTGGTAAGCATGCACACATATTTCAGAACTCGGTAACAACGGTTTTCGATACAAACGATATTTACTTTTAATGGAAATAAACTATTTATACAAACTCAGTGACTAGTTTTCAATACAAAAACATGCTTATGAACTCACCAGCTTTATGCTGATATATTTTCAAAACCGCTTGTATTCTCGGGGCAACGATAGACAGGTAGCTTACCAGCTTTTGGAGAAGACGAAGTATTTTTGGAGTCTCTTCTTTATCTTTTGCTATATAATGTTATGTACAAACTATGTTTTCAAACACATGTAAATTTTCATATTGTAATGTAATGGTTGTGTTTACTTTGATTGCTATGATACGATTATTGTGATACTACATATGACGTCACCGCCCCGGACGTTTCCGCCGTTGTTTTCCTAACGGTTCGGGGGTGTGACAGGGTGTGACATTTGTATACTAGGAATTCGTATGTCTTTCAACACCCTCAACTCTAAACAAAAACTTAGTATTCTTGTTGTTTTTATGCTTGTCAACAAAAACAATTCCCATCGGTTTGACACAAATTTCACCATCTTCAAAATCCTTCAAGCTTCCTTGACCTTTCAATAGTGATTGTGGTAGAGTGGTTTCACTTCTCATTGCTAAGGAAATTTCTACATGATTTAGGGCAAGACAATCGTAGTAATTGTCAAAGAAAAGCTTGATGAGTGCAAACCTAAGTAGAAAATTATCTTTGTTGTTCAGTTGGAGTTTCGAAACATCAAATCCACTCAAGATCTTTGGAACACTAATTAGATCATTGGGATTCATCAATAGAAAGTTTGCAAGTGCAAAATCACAAGCTACATTGTTTACATGAACCACGTGAAAAATAAAGTTCTGCAAAAGACCTTTGAGAAGTTGATCCTTAACTATACCCATCACTTTCACAAATTTGACTAAGGACCCGAATTCTTCATCCTTCTTCCTAAGGGCTGCATGAAATCTCAATTTTAGCTTCTTATACTGATGTTTGTCTTCAAATTTTTCTACGAACTGATAGTGAGCTGAGACGAACATCATATGATTGATGGGAAAATCCAATTGACTGAAATTCGAATTTTCGATCTCATAGCTCTTCTTTGGAACTTTCAAAAAGTCATGCATCTCTCCAAGTGAAAAAAATTTCTCAATGGTTTCATAGCAATATTTTTAGGTTGGGTCACCATTCTCAAGACCAGGTGGATCTCCTTGCCTTTGTCTTAGAATACTTTGAATTTGCCTTTGTCTTTCTATTTCCCTTTCGAAGGAAATCTTCTTTTCTTCTTCAGTTGGATTAGTTTTGATAAACTTCCTTTTTCCTTCTAGTTCTTTCTTTGGTGAAGGTGGATTCGAGCTTGAAGCCCTGATAGAAGACCCAATAACAATACCCTTGTTTAATGGCCTCGACGTCATTGTGGTTGAAAATATTGATGTCAAAGAAAGAAACAAATTTGGATCGGTGTGCTTATTACTTTCCCAACAACCGTACCTTGATCCGATTCCTTTGATGCTCTAACACCCTTTTCTCCTCCTTGCATCCCTGATGAAACACGTGGGGCATCTGTTGGTATTAAATTCACAAACTTCAGAAGATGAGCTAGATTAGTCATCAAGTTAGACTTCAATGAAGAAAAAATTTTGGACAAAGATTCTTAAGAAACCGAAGATGAAGGAGAAACATTGAGTTTTGAAATTAAATCTATCACACCCCGAAATCGAAGGCGGAAACGTTCCGGGGTGGAGGACGTCATGAATATCGCAACCAATGTACATAGTAAGCAAAGTAAACAACCATTACATTACATTACATATTGAAATTTACATTTGTTCAAAAGTAAAGTTGTACAGTGTTACACATATGTATATATAAACAAAAGCAGACGTGTCTTCGATGCACTCCGTCTTCGGCAAAAGGATCATTGGGTAGCTGTCTAATGCGGACCTGAGAATAGAAGTAGTTTGAAAATCATCATAAAGCTGGTGAGTTCATAAGCGGTTTTGTTTTTCTGAAAATGTACGAGTTTCCTTTTAGTTTCTGAAACTGTTACGACCCAAGAAAATCCCATATTTTCTTAAAAGTAAAGTTTAGTTGTTCTGTTATGTTACACTCTTCTGGTTACAAGTTGTGATTACCACAGGAAAATCCTATATTTTCCTAATGTGAAAGATGAATAGAGTTATCGAATCAGAAAGTAACCTACAAGTATCTACCATACTTAAAGTGTGTGTGTGCGAAGTTTCCTGAGAGTTTAGTTACCTTTAAGTGTACATTAGTTTTACGAGGTGTATAAAACTAATAAATAACTATAAAGTTTTCATAATCTTGATTGCGAGCTCCATAACCATACTACAGACTAGATTTGACTCGAGACGTGGCTAATATCATCTATGACTTTTGTCACCCTTGAACCTTTCGGTTCGGCTTTAGCTAGCAACCAGGTGCGGGATAGTCAGTCCCGTATAGCTCTATACGCTCAAGTCACGCTCTCCACTTTCCGGTGATTCTGGTTACGAGGACGGTCCTCCACTTTCGTGCCTAGGATGTGTTGCAGAGGATGTGTCTCCAGTCTTAAGATTCATGAATTTAAAACTGAAATTATCGATAAGGAAATCCTGTTCTATTGGTGCTTTACTCTTGTGTCTAGGGGGAGTACTAACTAGGACCTGACTAAGTTCCAATGATACATGTCCTTCACACTCGTGTCTAGGGGTGTTTTATTCAGGACAATACAAATGTTCTATCTACTATCCTCCACTTGCGTATCTCCGTGGGGTGTTACCGAGGACAAAACAACTTATAAAGTTTCCTGTTCAAAGTTTAAAGGTTATGTTCTTAGCTATTATTATGAGGAACACCATTTGTGAAAATATAAAATACGACAATTTATAACGTTTTTCACAAATACTCTGATAATGAAATCTTCAAGTTCAAACGGTTATCTGATATGATTAACAGTGTTAAAAACATATGTAGTATGAAACACAACACATATAAAATAAGTTTTGAGTACAAGTATTACTTGTACTTTGCTTGTATTCCCCCATGAAAACAGTGAAAAACATTGAAAAAGTCTAGGGGTATGAACTCAACAGGCGAGAAAACGTGACGGATTCGGACGCTATGTGTCGGTCCGGGGCTTGATAACACGCGAGGTTCCTATGTAATATGAAATGGTATACAAATGTATCTAGTTAGACTTTAAATCACTAATGAGATATGATTACACACTCCAAGACGCGAAAGCACTTCAAATCAAGTGTTTGGAGTGACCCGGGTGCCATATACGGACGTATATGGCTTGGATAATGAGTTTGGACTTCAAGAGTAAACTCCTTAGGGAGTTTACGGCCCTAAACACCACACCCACATGAGTTCACATCCGTGAACTCATAAGTGGTGTTTTTGGAAACTAAATGGCCTTGAAACACTTGGGGGTTAAATCTAGGTTTGGTTTTAGGGCATTGGAAAGTATTTTAAACATTTTAAGGACGCTAAGAGGAGTTTACGGCAGTAAACTATGTGTTTACGGCCGTAAACTCTGGTGTGTCCATTCACAAAATGTTTTGGTGGTCCTAATTCAATCACATGTGATTCCAATTCATTTTACAAGTCTATGGGTGAAGTTTGGGCATCATTTGACTTAGGTTTATGAGTTTACAAACCAGGAAACCTTTATAGGGGGGTTTACGGCCGTGAACACTCCAAGGGAATGTTTGCATCAAGTTTAAGGCCCCTAAATTGATTGTGGTTGATTCTAGAATTTATTCCAAGGCCATTGGTGTGTTTAAGTGGCTTTTAAACACTCAAATGTGAGTTTACTCTTCATGAGGATGATTTTACGGCCCAAGCATGTTCTTGGGCAGTAAACTCATGTTTATTCCTCAAAAATGATGATTAGGGTGTTCTAAGTCCGAATTGGTTAGCCACAAAGTCGTATCTAAGTCCCAAAATTGGTTTGGAGGGGTTTTAAGGCACAAAAACCCACTTAATATGAGTTTACGGCCCAAGAATTCTCCAGGGCCGTAAACTCATGTTTGACGTTCAATTTCATAGATTAAACTCGGATTTGAAGGCTAATGAGGTTGAACAACCAGTTAGGGAAGTTACCTTGAAGATTTGAAGTCTTAATTTGATGTTTTGGACCTAGTTTCTTTGGTTTGAGGAGAGAGGTTAGAGAGAGAGAGCAAAAGCTTCAAATGGAAGCTTAAACCTCTTTAAATAGGTTCTAAGTTTTGGACAAGGTGGAATTATGCCCGATACCAGCGTTAAACGGGGCTTTTGGTTGCACCCGATTAAGATGTCGTAACTCGATATGGTCGAAACTAAAAATGTTTCCGATTACTAATATGGAGTGATAAAATGAGTTCTAATCATGTTTAGACACCATTAAGTCATAATAGAAGTCTCCAAAATAATGACTTAATTTATAACTTAAACGGAAACAATTCGAAAAAGATGAATTTTATGGGTGGAAACGGGTTACGGCGAGGGAGTAAACTTCCGGTTGTCACAAAATCCTTCACATTTCCCAATAACTCTTCCAATTTAACAAAATGCATGGAATCAAACTCGGACTTCAAATCGACTTTGCTGATATGAGAACTGTACAACCCAAAAATCTTCGTAAAAACATCAACAACTATATCAAACTTAGTATGAAGATTGCAATAGTTCTTATCAAGTGTAGTAACCTCCTAGGTCATTTCAAAAGGAAGTTCCTCGATTTTGAAATTAACATCCTCCTGCAATTTCTTAACTTCTTGTACAAAGAGAAGATGTATTTTCTTAGCAACTACCCTCAAAATTTTAATCCTAATGATTAAAAGAATCTGATTTTCGCTTCAAACGCTCTTCGTTCTTCGTATCAATCTGATCCATGATGGTTTTCAACCGATGTTCTTGAGCTTTTAACAAAACATCTACTTCAATGCCAGAGACAATATTTTGATTTCCTTTATCTGCCCTAAGCTGAAGCAAAGAATTCAACTTGCAATTCAAAGTTTTGAATTGTTTTCCTGACATCAACATTTGATCAGGAATATTCTCCTCCTCAGGATCGAACTACATATCACCAAATGATACCATGAAATCATCACCATCCAGTTCAACTTCTAAAGTAGACTTTGGACCATCGATTGACTGAGAAGGAAACAAGGAAGTGGTAGATTGATTGATAATATTCGAAAAAGTAGGTAATATAGTAGAAGCAGGTAATTAAGTGGGAATTGGTGAAATGAATTGTGGTAACGAAGTAGAGGTATCAACAATAGTGGTTTTGAATATGGATGAAGTAATGATAGAAACAGTAACATATGAAGTTGACACATTCGAAATACCTTGGGCTGCATGAGTCAACATCCCATCACCCTTGTTGACATTTGTGTCCATATCAAATATGTTTATAGGGATGCCTGAAGTTCGAACCTCCTCAGAAACTGATTCAGTCATCGACACTTTGGGTGGTATGAATTGTGTTTGCTCAGGGATGGATGGATTTGAAGGGTCACCCAGATTAGTGGTTGTATCCACATTAAATGTTTCCACATTACCACAAATATTTCCATTCACCTCGATATTTGACTTAACAGGAGCATCCCTCTGAAGTGATGCGAAGCCCATATCTTCTATTCGAAGTGGAGATGGACTGCCCTTATCTTATTGATCCACTTTACCAAGTTACGAGCTCTTCGTTTCTTTGAAGCAGGAGAAACTAGAGCAAGAATTTCGTGAATAATCACCCCTTTTCGGTTAATCTAGGGTTCTTGAATATTTTGAAGTTTGTTGCAAAAGACCCCTTAGGCGAAGAAATAGTCTGCATAGGAACATCTTCAATAATAGGCCTCCGATCTGATGAATGGCAAGGTCTATGGGCAGGCTTCTTCATACATTTCAAAATGCCAGTCTTTGTCGGCACCACCTACGTTTGAATATCATGTACAATGGGTTCTTGAACAGGCTATGTAATTCTCACAACCCCGGACTAGACGGAAGAAACGTCCAGAGGCAGGTGACTTCATTGTGCAGTATCATAACAATTAAATATACATGAAACAGAGCAATCCAAACATCATACATTGAGATAACAAAATTACATTGTTCATATTCTATTTGTTCTTCGAATTATACAAAAGAGACACAAGCACAAAATTTCAAAACTACATCTAAATAGTCCAGCATCCGCACCCCTTGATACCTGCTTACTAGATCCCTGAGAATACAAATCGTTTTGAAAAGCATCAACTAAAGAGTTGGTGAGTTCATAAGCATTTTTGTATAAATAGGTTTACACTTGTTTAGAAATCGTTATCACTGCACTTTCAGAAAATCTGATATTTTCTATGAAATCGTTAGAAGTCTTTCCTTGAAAATCATGGATATATGTGCACATGTCATTACTTTTGTTCATTCTTATAAGGAGTGATTTTGAAAAGTAGTGCAAGTTGTAATAGCGAGTTGTGTTCGAGAATAGTTCTTTTGAATATTATTAGTCAACTGTTTCTAGAGAAAACCCTTATTTTCAAAAAGAGAATATGTTTGAAAATCTTGTTCCTCTTATCGAGTCAAATTCAATGTGCATTCTAGTTTATCGGTATCGAAATCATAGAAAATCGTTTTCTCCAGAAAATCCTATATTTTTGCTATACAATATTCGTATGTTCTATTTCCAGCTGTGTGTATGTGAGGGTTAGTTTATAGTTTTCAAAATCGTTTACAACACTTTCCATAGAGTCATACACTTTTTAATTTGAAAAATCGTAGTATTACGACTCTATACTTGTTATGAGAAAGAATCAACATGGCAATTGTGGACTTTCTACGTGATGAAAAAGGACAGTCGACGCAACGAATGCGGACCATCACCTATTATGTGTAGGACAGTCGACACAATGTGCAAAAAATTATTTATGAGGTTTTTCTTACGTAAATTTCTAGGTGACATAACATATTCTAGTGAGTCGTTATAACCATACTAATCTGATGGAGTGCCTGGTTTGGCATGTCTCAGGCACCATCGGTTTGTAAAAGATATTTGTCACCCTAGATTGGCCTGTATAGCTGTAGCGAACATCGAAGGTGCGGGATGTCAACCCCATATAGATCTATACATAAATTCCCGCTCTCCTTCCAGGAGACTCTAGTTATAACTCTTACAGGACTTAAAGTGTACAATATTGTATCAATATATGTATTGTGAAGATTTTGTCTAACTAGAATACTAACCGATCTTTGAGAAATCATGAAATCATTATTTACTAAATAATTAATAATAAAAGTTTAAGTTGTAACTAGATAGTTCGTTTCATTTATTGGAATCAATATGCTTTGAAATATTTATCAAAATGACCCAATATCATCAAAGCCGGTAACCAACCCCTTTTTTCTTTATAAAATACTATGTACGACTCAAATTATCGGAAAATACCAAGTTGTTATATATATATATATATATATATATATATATATATATATATATATATATATATATATATATATATATATATATATATATCTTTGACTTGTGTGAGTTTATGACAACAACTTTACGACATACAAATTTTTCTATCATAACCACTCTATTTTTATATTTTCTTGCCACAAATAATAATGTCTATTATTTATGAAATACCCCTTAATAGTTGCATAAATATTCATTGATGGGCATAAAGTCTCAAACTTTGAAGATCCTAGCAATTATGTCATCTTATAAGTGTATTTCAACAACTTTTTATCATTAGATATAGAGATATGGAGTAACGGGGTATGAATGTACACGTTCAAAACCATGGGAGGCTCTTCTTGTATATAAATTATTCTCTATATGGTGGTTTTGTAAACATTTATAAGATTTTCATATAATCTGTGAACTCACGTTCATGAAAAATTTGTTATAGTATAACAACATCTCAACACACATACTAAACATACAAATACATGTAATTATCCAAGGAATTAGACAAGATTTGAATTGCATTCTCTCTCAAAAACAATAAAAACTTAGAAAAAGATGGGGTATGAAGCTCACCTTGGTTAACGTATGAGACTTGGAGCTTGAAGGAGTTGATAGCACCCTCAAAAGCTTGCTGGAGATGAAAATGAGAAGTGGGGAAATGGAAGACGAGGAGTTCATGTATTCTAAGTGGAGGGATAAAATTGATATGACACTTGCTTGGAGGACTGGTGTACAATGCCTAGTTATCTATGGATATTTTGTGTTTAACTCGGATTTTCATGGGAAATGAAGGATTCACATCACATCACAAAGTCAAACTCCTTATCTTCTAAGAATTCCTTAAAAAAATCTTGGGCATTATTTTATATAAAATATGTTTAAAATAATTAATTTTGGCATAAAATAGGGGTTTAAGGGGTCCTAGACATGAAAAATATGAATTTGGTGCGATTTCCGACGCCAAAATGCCTTAAAATGATGAAGTGGTCCGAAAATAGCACAAATATGAAGTCAAAAGGCGAGGTCTAGAGTTAGGATGAGATTTCTAGTGTCATTTATCACATTCCAGAGCAAGAGAGTGTAATTCCGAAGCCGCTTGCTCAGGTCCGGAGGGCTCTTCTCAGATTCTGAAGTCAGGAAACGGGTCAGTGGATTGGACCGACCAGGTGTTTTCGAACTGAAGCGGGGCAATGTTAGATCTTCTAGAGCCAAGAAGGTGCTGAGGTTTCTTAGCACAAGTCTCCCAATAGTGCTTGCTTACTTGAGGATGGAATTTCCTAACCAAACAGGCTATTTGTGACATCATCCCCCCATTATAGGGACTTTCGTCCTGAAATTCATTCGAAAGGTAGGGTCATGAATGCAGAAATAGGAGAGGGTACTTTGAGTTATTTGGTCTTTGCGTTCCAAAGTGAATACCAACTCACGCCTAGCATTCCCTTGGACCTTCACCATTAGGATGCAGCTTTGTTTTATGTGTTTAACTTTTCTATTCATTGTTTTGATAGACTGATCAAATATTATGTAACACCCCTAATTTCTGGTATGTAATTTGGATATGGTATTTCTCTCTCTTAAGAGGTACTCGACGAGTCAGTCGCCATACTCATCGAGTAGAGATGGGATTTGCACGCATTTTAGCGGGCGACTCTACGAGTCCATATTCCGGACTAGGCGAGTCCGCTAGTCTGGTTGAGGCCCTAAATCTCAGGGTTTGTAACCTATTTAAACATCATTATAGCCTCCCATTCCAGCCTGTAATACCTCTAGAGCATTTCCCCTGCAAACCCTAGTCCCCATTGTTAAGCTTGAATGTTTTTGTGCTAGCTTGGAAGTTTTGGAAGAGAAGGAAGGAAAGAAGATCAAGAGAAGAGAATGTAGATCCAGAACCTAGTCTTCATTTGCTACATATTCTGGTAATAAATTTAACACCTTGATTATTCTTCCATTAAACCCTATTTTATGCTTGTTTATGCTTCTTCTTGGAACTTTATATGATTTAAACTCGAGATTTGAACTCTCATTTGGAAGGAAACCATAGATTTAGATGTTACTGAGCTCTAAGAGCTCAATGTAGCTACCTTTATGCAAATATAGCCTTGTTCCAAAACCTAAGTGCTTATTGTTGGATGATATTGTTGTTTTAGCCCCATTCTCTTGTGCTTGCACGTAAAGTTGGAAACTTTACGTGTAAAACCAGCACTAGAAGCCCAAATCTATGAATTGGATGCATTGAAATTGAAATTGAATGTATAGTAATGGCATCCATGAGACTTGATGAGTTACCCTTTGGACTCGGCGAGTAAAAGGTAATCTTCTAGCCTCAAGAACAAACTTAACGAGCTGTTCATACAACTCGGCGAGTCACAGATTGGAGAAGTTCATATGATGAAGGAGAACTCGACGAGTTGTTCTTACAACACAGCGAGTCAGATGAACTTAGACTCAATGTTAGTATCGAAGAAGAACTCGTCGATTCTTTGCAAAACTCGATGAGTAGAAGTGGGTAGAGGATCAGAAAGAATGCTAGGGACTCGGCGAGTTGGCAGCCCAACGCGGCGAGTTCGGTCAACTGAAAAATGACTTTGACTAGGATGTTGACTTTGACCAGGGGTAAAATAATCTTTTTACCCTGAGATTAGTTATCAGTATTTGATATATTGTTTATGGGATTCGTAGTCGGGGAGTTCCGAAGCAGCAGTCAGACAGTTTCAGACTTAGCATCTCAGCAACCAGTGTTACGAGGTGAGTTCCCTTCCACTAGGAACGGGTCTACGGCCACAATGCCGACCTATTTAGATAGCATTAGTACGTATGCTTGATGTCTTCGTGATTCATGCATGTGTTGTTATGTGTAGTATGCCGGGTAAGCCTGATATAGTATGTGATTATGCTATATGTTCATGATATGTTATATCCAGTTTATTCCGGACTTCGGTCCGATGCCAGACGGGGTCCAGTGCATTGGGCGGGGCCCAAGTTATTTTGGATTTCGGTCCGATGTCGGGCGGGGCCCAAGTTATTCTGGACTTCGGTCTGATGCCGGATGGGGCCCGATGCAGTGGGTGAAGCCCAATATTTGTTATATGTGTTATTGTATGGTATGAGGTAGTTTGGGGGAGCTCACTAAGATTCATGCTTACAGTTTCAATTTTTTATTTCAGGTACT